AGTAGCTATATGTATAGTTTTACCACAAGTTGCTGAAAGGGGGAAAAAAAAATCTCACAAAATTTTAGAGCTAGGAAGGATCTTGCTAACCCACCTCGCTTTACACATAAGCAAGCTAAGGAATATACAAGTTAAGACATTTGTCCAAAACCACCAATCACAAAGTTGGTAATAAAAGTTTGCCGTAACAGAAATCCTTGGATCAACTCAAGGGCACATTTGGTGACTCCTGTCATGCTGCAAGGCCAAAAAGAACACCAAAGAGGCAACAAAATATTTCCTGAGAAGTGCAGGCAGCTTTGCACTAAGTTCCAATTTTTCTAACCAAAAAAGCTATTTTTGCAGTATGGTTCCTGAGAAAGGCTGACTCACTGAAAAAGTGGGGAACAATTTACTCACAGTGGACTTCTCTGAATTGGCGATGTTTCTCTGTGTCCCTTAATCAGCCAGCGGGATCTCTGCACATAGGAAACCACCCAACCATTTTCTTGCTTCTCATTGTTCTTAGACTAAAAACAGAATTCTTTACACATTCTACAAGGCCTTGCAGGGTCTGGCCCCTGCCTGCCTCTGCAGCCAGGGCCACTGTATATAGTTATAGTTGTGGAGTTGGTGCCTGGCTGAGTGGGTAAGTGGGCCTGGAATCCAGGTCACGTACTCCATGACACAAGCAAAAATTTGGCTTAGGTGGCATCTGCTAGGACAGGAAGAGGTGCCTTAGTAATGAGCATGAAGGAGCTCTCGGGGCTAGCAGCTGTCCTACCTGTCAGCTTTGGCACACCATCTCCTGATCCCACCTCCATCCACTCAGGGCTTCTGTCTACCCTAGAACTCACCTCGCCTTTTGGCCATCTCAGGGTGGGGTGAATCGGGCAAGAGGATAATTTGTGCGCAGACCTCACTCTACCCTGCTTCAGGTTGCAGCTCAGTCAGCCTTTCCTCAGTCTCTCTGACCAGAGCACAGCTCCATATGCCTTTTCTTTTCTTTTCTTTTTTTTCAAGAAAGGTTCTTGCTCTGTCATTCAAGCTGGAGTGTGATGGCACGGTCGTAGCTCACTGCAGCCTCTACCTTCCAGTCAAGTGCACTTTCTTAGCCTCCCAAGTAGCTGAAACTACAGGTAAGTGCCAGCATGCCTGGCTAATTTTAAATGTTGTTTTGTTTTTTTTTTTGTAGAGATGGGATCTCACTATGTTGCCCAGGCTAGTCTCAAAGTCTCAAATTCCTGGCTCAAGTGTTCCTCCTGCCTTGGCCTCCCAAAGTGCTGAAATTACAGGCATGAGCCACTGTGTCCAGCCAACGTGTGTTTTTGTTTGTTTGTTTGTTTTTGTTTTATTGAGATGGAGTCTCACTCTGTCGCCCAGGCTGGAGTGCAGTGGTGTGACCTCGGCTCACTGCAACCTCTGCCTCCCAGGTTCACGGGATTCTCCTGCCTCAGCCTCCCGAGTAGCTGGGATTACTCACACGCACCATCACGCCCAGGTAATTTTTGCATTATTAGTAGAGACGAGGTTTCACCATATTGGCCAGGCTGGTCTTAAACTCCTGACCTCGTGATCCACCCGCCTCACCCTCCCAAAGTGCTGGGATTACAGGCGTGAGCCACTGCACCCGGCCCATGCTTCTTTTTTTCACAGCACTATCCTCATGGCAGTTTCACATTTATTTACATGAGTATTGGATGAATGTCTCTAGACCCTACTAAAGATTACACTCCATGAGAACAGGGACTATGATATTTTATCCCCAGCGTCTAGCACAGTACCTGGCACAGAGTAGGTATTTTATAAATATTTGTTGAAAGGAAAAAAAAAAAAGGTAAGTAAGAATCTAGCACATTTTCACATTATTTAAATACGTTCAGCAACTTTCTATGGCCATAAGTTAAGTGACATGAGATGTATCTTGGATAAACCACTGTTAAAAGGCTTAGCATCTCATCACAGAGTATTGAGTATACAGTGTTAGTCTCACTGTATACTCAGTATTACTTGGAGAAATAATTCCTTCACAGAGCTGTGATGAAAGAGACAAATGAAAAGGCGAAAGTGGGGAAAAATCATCTGAATTCCTACACACATGTAAGGGACAATTATTATGAAATGATAGAATGAAGCAGAAGGGCACTTTGGCTTGCTGGAAGGAGGAGCCTCTGTAAGCTTTGCTGCTGGGCGGCCAAGAAGGACGGCAGGAATGGGATGGATGGAGACTCACACCCCTGCAGAGCCTTCCCTACAGGCTCCTCTTGCTCTCTGAGTCCTCAAGTAATTCCACAGACTTCTGTGACTGTTTTGGTTTCTCAACGTGGCTTCTGTCCTTGCAAGTACTTTTTTTGTTTTGAGAGAGAGTCTCGCTCTGTTGCCCAGGCTGGAGTGCAGTAGTGCCATCTCAGCTCACTGCAACCTCTGCCTCCCAGGTTTAAGCGATTTTCATGCCTCAGCCTCCCCCGTAACTGGGATTACAGACATGCACCACCATGCCCAGCTAATTTTTGTATTTTTAGGAGAGACGGAGTTTCACCATATTGGCCAGGCTGGTCTTGAACTCCTGACCTCAAGTGATCTACCCGGCTCGGCCTCCCAGAATGAAGAACTATTTTTGACTACAGGTATAAACGTGGGCTTTGGACACAAATCAGTCTTGAGTAAATGAGACCAGTGTCTCCTGGGCCTAAGGATCATGGAGGAAAGGAGACTGCACAGTAGGTAAAACTGAATGGGAGCCTGTCTCTTTTGTCACAGAAAGGTCATAGTGAGATTTTCCTCACCAACTGAATTAGGAAGGCCTAGAGGATTTATTGCATTCTTGCCATTTCCTAAATATTTACTGTATCCTGTGTAATTTGGGACAGACTAAACACTAGCATCCAAACCAGCCATTCTCTTTTCTGCAGTTGGTATGTTAAAAGTGTTCACACTAAGGCAAGCCTTAGGAACCTCCAGGTTTTCTTTTGTTTTCAATAAACAACAGGTTGGACTTGGGTTACAAACCATAAATCTGACGCTTCCTACAGTGATGGAGCTTCAAATAATAGTTGTATACAAAGCTCTGATTAGACTTCATGAAATCCTTTTTAACTTTTTATTACGGAAAACGTCTAACAATATATAAGTAGAGGGAATGTATAATGAATCCTCATGTATACTTATCACTGCTTTCAAAAATTAGCAACCCATGGTTACTCTTACAACCAATAATTTTAGGGGAACAAAAGTGGAAAAATATTCATTTACAAACTGTTCTTCCTGAATGATTTTAGTAAATTAAAAAAAAAAAAAAAAAGTGAGGCTAGCTCACTGCTGTAATCCCAGCACTTTGGGAGGCTGAGGTGGGCAGATCAGTTGAGGCCAGGAGCTCGAGACCAGCCTGGCCAACATGGTGAAACCCTGTCTCTACTAAGAATACAAAAATTAGCCTGGCATGGTGGTGCCTGTAATTCCAGCTACTCGGTAGGCTGAAGCAGGAGAATCACTTGAACCTGGGAGGTGGCGGTTGCAGTGAGCCATGATCCTGCCACGGCCTCCAGATTGGGTGATGGAGCCAGACTCTGTCTTAACAAAGCAAAACAAACAAAGCTACTGAGAAGTGTTTCTTACAGAGCTGTGGAGGGAAGACAGGGCCTGGACAAGTGCTAACGAACTTGGTAACACAGACTTCCTTCCCACACGTTTCCTGTCTATTTATGCCTCACTAACCCCTAATTTCTGCCTTCTTTTTTGTTCCTCTGAGACAAGGAGAAGCTGCACCAAAGAGATATGAAGCAGATTAGAAGAAGCAGGGCTTTCTGTCTTCCAGGTGTCTCCTTTAGCAAATTGCATAATGAGAGGGAGGGCCAGGAAATCCTATCATACATATATCAGTGATGAATGCTTGTAAACCTGAAGTTGTTAGCTTGAAGGTTTTGCCTAAAATTACAGGGCTTGAAGGCATTCTCAGAAACAGGAAGCCATGCTCATTTCAAGAGACAGAGGATGGTATTAAAGGTTAAGTTTCTGAAGCTGAGCGATATGGATAGAATTCATTTGTCCAGAAAAATAATAATAAATTTCCAATGTTGCCGCTTAATTAGATATTAAGTGGGTAGGTCAAAAACAGGTCTTGACCTTTTTGAACTGGATTTCCTATACAAAGCTCTCTGTCCCTAAGCTGAGTGAGAGCTTCTCCTCTCTACGACAGGGGGCCAGGAATCCAAAATACACTCATTTATCTTACCTAGAATCATTGTAAATCCTTACCTAGAGAAGGGAAACAAAAACTACCAACCAAAGGCTGAAAGTGGCAGGAAACACTGAAAAAAGAAAAAAAAAAGCCAGACGGGGAGGGGAGAAGAGAAGTTAAGATAAACAAAGTTACATAAATAGTGTCAAAGGTGTGTCAGGCATAGCTCTTGCTTGTCATCCCAGCACTTTGGGAGGCCAAGGCAGGAGGATTGCTTGAGCCTAGGAGTTCGAGACCAGCCTGGGCAACATGGCAAAAGCCCTTCTCTACAAAAAAAAAAAAAAAAATGCAAAAATTAGCCAGGCTGGTGGCACATGCCTATCGTCCTAGCTACTCAGGATGCTAAGGTGAGAGGTTCACCTGAGCCCAGGGAGGTAGAGGCTGTAGTCAGCCATGACTGTGCCACCACACTCCAGCCTGGGCAACAGAGTAAAACCCTGTCTCCAAAAAAGTGTGTGTGCGTGTGTGTGTGTGTGTGTGTGTGTGTGTGTGTGTGTGTGTAGTGTCAGAGATTATTTAATGAAAACCAATTATTATTAACTATTTTATTTATTTATTTATTTATTTACATGGGGTCTCACTCTGTAACCCAGGCTGTAGTGCAGTGGCGTGATCTTGGCTCACTGCAACCTCCACCGACCAGGCTCAAAAGATCCTCCCACCTGAGCCTCCTGAGTAGCTGGGACCACAGGTGCATGCCACCATGCCAGGCTAATTTTTTTGTATTTTTGGTAGAGATGGGGTTTCACCATTTGCCCAGTCTGGTCTTAAATTCCTGAGCTTAGGTGATCTACCCGCCTTGGCCTCCCAAAGTGCTGAGATTATAGGTGTGAGCCCAGCCTAGATAAAGACTTTTAGATTAAAATTTTACTGTGTGCTGACAGATCTCTTAAAGTTCTATATTCAGAAGAAACTCATAAGCCATCAGAGGAAGACAGATGCCCGCCTCAAGTGCAAATAAATGGGCAGGGAAGGCCAGGAGGATTCTGGGAGGATTTGTGAAGGCTGGTGGAGCTGTACTACTGACTGTATCCTCAGGGCCTAGACAGTTCTGGCACATGATAGGTACTCAGTATTTGTTCAACGGAGTGGAAGGATCCGAGCTGTGGGTTAATAAGTAAAATTTAATAAACCTTTCCACTGTCTACATACTCAACGCCTCCCCTATTCCTAACACCTGAGAGTTTTGGAATTTGGAACCACAATGTACACGGGAGATAGGGTAAGTCAGGTTAAGAAGGATGTGTTTATGTAGGTGTGTATTTCTGTACGCTTGTTGTACTTGTATACAGATTAATTCTAAGGTGTTCAATGTGGTCTTGCTTCCTTTCCACGATGGCAGGAATCACAGCTGTCCTGTTCTTCACTGTCTCCTAGCAGTGTCTGAGAAGTTGGTAAGGGATTCATATTCTTTATTGATTGAATGAGTGAAGCAACACAAATAAGAGTAATGCTGTAGAACTGGTGTTGAAGCTGACTAATCTCCAAAGCATTTCCACAGACTTCAGTATAAACAGACTGCGCAATTCATTCTGTCTGCAATCATTTTAATACGTTCTGATCCAGAGCATCCCACAGCTGCTTTACTCTTTTTTTCTCTACCAACTGGAAACTTGGTTCATCATCCTTGTAGCATTTAAAGGTACAAACAATATGGACATTTCATAATACCAGATGCGGGGAGCCACCAAGCCACACTCATTTGGAGAAGACTACACTAATGCTCTTTTCAAACAGAATTACCAGCCTTCCAGAAACTCCTTGCCATCTTGAATAACTGAAGGCATAAAGTGGCAGCTGTCAGTTCCACCCTCCTGCAACACATCCACAGGCCAAACGATCAGGCCACATGGTGAGGAGTTACTTTAGCTGAGAAAACATGGGCTCATTCCTTTAGCAGCTACGTGGTTCTGTTTAAGGGAGAGGCACAAATGTATGTGCATGAGAATAAATGCAACCTCTCATGCTGGAGAAGCAGCAGAGGCATTTTTATATGTTGCCAATTCTGTGTGTGGTTGGTGTTTCTGAGGGCACACCAGAAAATATGAGTTCTAATGGCAGAAAATAATTTTTTTTTCAGACAGGGTTTCACTATGTTACCCAGGCCAGTCTTAAATTCCTGCTCTTAAGCAATCCTCCATCTTTGCATCCCAAAGTGTTGGGATTACAGGTGTGAGCCACCACACCCAACCAGGAAAAGAACTTTTTAGAATAAGACAGCAATAGTATTACAAATGTTCTAAGAGTCAGGTGTATGCAGTTGAATTTGGCTAATCAAGAGCTTTAGAAAATTTGCAATATGGCTTAATGAAAAAAATATTTCACTTCCTAGTATTAGTAGCTTTAGTTCCAATTAGCCTGTGACCTCAAGGTTTTATATTTCAGAGAGTTAGGGGGTTCGATAGGATCAGTGTTTCTCCCTGGGGTGTATATCACAATCACTTAGGAAGTTAGAAAAAAAAGAAACCAGATGCCTGGACCCTGCCAAGAACTATACATTTTGAATCACTGAAAGTGACACCTGGGCATATAGGTATATTTATTTAAATTTTGTCAGTGTTTCTTTGGAGCCAGACCAATCCAGTGCCTCTCAGATTTTAATGTACCTATGAATCATCTGAAACTCTTGTTAAAATGTAGATTCTAACCCAGTAGGTCTGAAATGGGGCCTAAGTTGCTTCACTTCCGACAAGCTCTCAGGCAAAAGATGCTGCTGTTCCATAGCTCACACACTGAGTAGAGTTCTCCAGCTCAAATCGTTTGGCATTCCATTAAGGACATAGAAATTCTCATCCATAACTAGAATGTATCACATACTTAGTACTTAAATTGCAAGTTACTGCCTTTGCTTTTGTCTTTGAAGATCAAGGTGGAGACTTCTATTGTGTGTGATGTAAAAAGAGTATCTTAATGCCAAAACGTCTCACATCAAGGATGTAGAAGGTAAGCCACCACAACTTCAATCTTAGACATTTTTCCTTCTTGATGTAAAGGATCCAAATACATTTCCAGTAAAACACAAGTTTTCTAGCCTGCTGTTCATGCTATTCTTTGTAAATAATTCAGTCTCTTCCGATCAGAAGTTCAAACACAGATTTATCGCTATCCTAATCCCTCTTAATCTCCATCTTGGTATGGGCAGTTCTTTCCAGTGTTTTTGGATCTAGACAATATTTTCTATGTTCTTCCATTTCCCTTTCTGAAATCTTGAAGAGCAGGCCTCTCTACCCTTACCTAAGCCAGTTTTCAACATTGGAGAGCTGAGACTAGAGCCCTCCAGCAATTCCCTTGAGGCCCTTCTCACCAGCAGGGGATGGAACTATTGTTGAACACCCTTTTTTCCAGGTCACATTTTCCCATACACTCTACCAAGACATCCTGAGAAACTCTGAGAGAAGCCCATGGAGGGTCCACATGAACAGCTTCCAGCACTGCTTTGACCTACCCATCTACTAGCATCACCGAAAGAGGATAGTTCTTTTTAGAATGAGAAGTGTTCTAGAATCAATGAAGCTCCCTAACCCAGAAGATGTTTGGTTTCTTCCTCATGACTCATAGGAAGATGGAATAGTAGTTAAGAGCACAAGCCTAAGTTTGGGACTTTGGGTAAATAATTTAACCTCTCTGAGCCTCAGGTTTAATGATAAAAATAATAACAGGGTTTTTAAAATTGGATTCGATGACATAATGCAGGTAAAATACTTTGCAAAGTACCTGACACACAGAGCACTCAATACATCTTTATTTATATTATAAAGAAAGAAAGGAGAGCAATTTATAGAAAAAACCACTGACTGTGTTTATACTTGCATAGAAAACAGTTGAAGGTTATATGCCAAACTTTTACTGAAGTATGAAGGAAATTTCACATTTTATCCACATAATTTTCAAATCAACCTTTATTACTAGCCTATATCTTCCCTACGTTTTTAAAAATCAGGGTAAGTTTTAAAAACTTCATGGCTACTTTTCACTTTTTCCCTTCAAAAATTTCATTGACAACCAACAAGTCTTGTTTGAAAGGAAAATGAGGAGGGCCAACACCCTTAAACTACCTGAGTTAGTGGCCTATGGCACAATACTGACGGAGCTATATTTAGTCAAAGGGCTGGCCCTTGGCCTTCACAGTGAAAAATGGATTCCATCAAAGGCAGCAAGGCTGCCTGAGCTTGTGCCTGGTCTGGGCAGCACACATCTCTGAAAAAAATAAACTTTTTTTTTTAATTGGTCTGTGTCAAACTTTGCCCCACATCTAAGTTTTTGAAGTTAACCTCAAGAATATACCTCCATAACTAGATGACTAGATAAGATGCCTGTCTACTTCTTCGCAAAGAGAAAGAAAAGAAACAAACAAAAACCAAATAACTCATGCAAACCTATTTACTACTTATTTTGTTTTAAAGACATTTTTGACCAGGCTCGGTGGCCCCTGCCTGTAATCTCAGTGCTTTGGGGGGCCCAAGGTGAGAGGATGGCTTGAGCCCAGGAGTCAAGACCAGCCTAGGCAACATAGTGAGACCTACATCTCTTAAAAAAAAAAAAAAAATAGCTAGGTGTGATGTCGTGCACTTGTGGTCCCAGCTACTTGGGAGGCTGAGGTAGATAGATTGCTTGAGCCCAGGAGGTTGAGGTTGCAGTGAGGTGTGATAGCACCACTGCACTCCAGCCTGGGCAACAGAAGGAGGCTCAGTCTCAAAAAAATTAAAAAGAGAAAAGAAATTTTTTAGTGTTCCAGGAAAGCAGCCTGAAGCACAGAGCTGAAGCAGCTGCCTCCAGCCCCAGATCTGTCCCGCCCTGCCCTGACTAATTTGTACGTTGGCTGCCACACTAGTTCACTCAGATCCTGTGCCCTCTATACACCAAGCCATTCCCGGTGCAATTCCTTAAGCAATGCGGAAGACGGATCTGTGCGATTTTCTATAGAGTCCCACATGTGGGCTTCCACCTCTGCATGGGGGTGACTGCTGTGAACCATACTCAGAAACTGTGAAGTCTCCCCCTGAAGTCTCCCCCTCTCCTCTGTGCTGTGTGTTTGCTCCTTTAGCTTCTCAACAACTGCCAGGGGCCCCTGGGCCAGAATTCAAGTCTGATTCATCCTGGTCTGCTTGGAGCTTGGCATGGGGCCAGGCACAGAGAGGTGGCTCAATGTATAAGCCAACTAGCAGCAAGCGGACTGAAGAAGCCACCCTGTTCACCCTTTCCCACGCCCTTCAGGTGTGAATTTCTCCCTTTTCTCCCAAGCCAGCTTGCTCCTTCTTCCCTCTATGTCTGCCCTGAAATCGAAATGTCAGACATTTAAGGGCAAGTGAGTCCTTTATAAAGTCTGAGGGTGGCTTTTTCTTTAAAGATGTGTAGGAGATAATCAGCAAGATTGACAATATCACCATCCATCCTGCATAAGCAAGAGAAAGATTTCTTAAAGGGTGAACTCCAAGGAAAGGTGGTTTCTAGGAAAGCAGGTGTATGTGCAATCTTAACACAGGATATTTTGTAAGTATCGGGTATTGAAAAGGCCGTCTGATACATTGAAACCCCAGGCTAGGAAGTGAAGACAGAGAAAGTGACCACGCCTGGCCACTGCTGGAAGAAAATACCAGAGGGCCACGTTCCCAGAGTCATGGCAGCCTTCACCCTACAATGGGAGATGCGCCACCAGGAGACACCCACCCTTTTGATCCCAAGCTCAGCTTTACTGTACAGTGTGGCAGGCATTAGGCAGAGAAACCAACAAAGTGCGTAGCTCCTTGGTTGCCCTTTCTGCACTACCCCGGGTCCACACCCTGCCGCCCTAGCTAGCCCCAGGGTAGGGTTACGCCACTTTCCACTTTCTTCTTATTTTTAAAAGACGAGGGCGCTACAAATATCTCCCCAGCAAAAGCCCGATCCTGGCACAGGGTGACAAAACAAAACAAAAAACCCCTCCTTTTTCTTCCTTGCGGTTGGCAAATTTCCTCCCTCCCCGTCCTCTTTTCCCTATGGGGCCCCCTCAAGTCTCAGCCCTTGGCGCAGAAAAGGGGACCCCAGGTTACTGAGGCCTCGCCCTGCGAACAAGTTTCCACTGGCTTGGCGGCTTGTAGAATTGTCAGGGCAGGCGCCGAGCGTGGTCAGAGAGCGTTTCTACATCCCGGGATCTTGCACCCTGAGGCCCCTCTGTGCGCGCCCCGGATCGGTGTCCCGGGTGGGGAGACCCCACTTACCCCACGACGGAAATCATCATGGCAGCCACCACCAGGTAGTTGGTCTGGTAATAGAGCAGGTTGCTCACCACGCGGTTGTTCCATTTGGAAATGTCCCTGAAGTCCGGCCGGGCAAAGCGATCGGAGCCCGGGAAGAAATCGTCCCAGGCGCGGAGTGGGGCGATATTAACGTCCATGTTCCTAGCTTTGCGTTCTTCGCCTCCGGAATCTGGCGGCGGCGGCGGCGGCAACCGATCAGCTGAGCTGAGTCAACGAGGCTACCCCCGCTTCGTCTCGATCGGCTTTGCGGTTGGTAGGCAGCGGAGCAAAGGACATTGGGAGCGGGCGGGCGTGTTTGCTCCTCTTTACTTCTAGATTGGCTGTGTAAGTGGTTAGGTATAGGAAAACAGGGACCTCGAGACAGGACAAGGGACTGAGTGCAGAATAGAGATGAAATGACAGAAAGCAAAGAGCGGAAATCCCCTTTCTGAAGCGAGGTGGCAGTGTCTTCCTTGGCAGTCTGAACACCAGCTGCCTCCTTTGAAATACCTTTTTTAAAGGTTTAACTTAGGAGTGTGTTCTCTGACTTAGAGAAAAATTTTGGCAGCTTTGCAGATGCCACTCTAAGTGAAATGAAATGGAAGGCGACTCTAGTGTTACTGGATAACGAGCTGCTTTTGAAAACTACCTCTTACTAACCTCTACACATCTGAATGCAATTCCCATGTTTTCTCTGTTTCACCATGAGTCACTATGTGTGAAATCAGATTGGCAAAACGGGAAAGAAGGTCATGTAGAACAGAAAGGCTGGTTTGTTTTTTTCACTTCTCTTCTTTGTTCTCCATCTCTATTCTCTCGAGGCTGAATTGTTGGACTGCTATGCCATTCTGATAAAGTGATAAAGTTGGCACGCTGGTCACTTTAGCCCTGAACTGGGCATGTTGCTTACATTTTAAAGCAAACAGTTGTCTGCAGTGAACTAGTTGTTCTGCATCTAGCATTCTGTGAGCAGAAATATGCATTCCACTTCAAATGTTTTCTTAGTTTCATTGAAAAATTTGGTGACAACTTTCACTGAGGGACCGCAGTATATTCATAGATAAGGTATCCCAGCCCTAAGAACTGGCAAGGGATGTATTCATTGTAAATTCTCTTCTAAGCTTTCAAAAGGTCATCTCTTTTCAGTTAAGGAGCTGATTGTTATAATGCATGAGAAAAAACTATTTTGTTTAATTGTATAATGTAACAGGTAGAATTCTAAGATGAAGAATTCTGAGATAACAGAGTCTTTAAGCCCATAGTGGTTTAGACAAACTGAATTCACTCTACTCAGATAATTAATTTTCAAAAACTTGGAAAGTAATGAAATATACTAATGCAAAGTCTAGAAAATATAATTTAATCTTCCTTGTTGATTCAGAAGGCAGTTAAGGGGCTTACCGTGACTCTAAAAAATTACTACTCCTGCTGGTGTTTAGGAAAGTTTGGTGATTGCAAAGAATTAGTGCTGACTAAGATATACCTTATGTACTGCGTTTTGAATAAAGTTTAAAATGTGAAAATATTCCTGAATGCTCACATTCTCTTGATTCTGGAAAAATGGGATGGTGTGAAGTCAGAGAAAGCAAAATTAGAGTCCCAGTTCCTTCCTTTCTGACAGGTGACTTTGGAGAAATTACCTGATCTCTCCTGGCATCAGTTTCTTCATGTGTAAAGTGGGGATAATGGAACATCTGCCACAAAGGTGAGGATAAGTGAAGGAATGTATAGGAAGTGCTTAGTGTATAACACATGTCCACAGTTATACGTTACTATTATTGTCATTAGTAATAGGCTAGCCCATGATTCATGTCTGCTATTAATAGTGCTTTAATCTGATTTGTTTTCTATGCTTTCATTATAAGCATTACTGACTTTTCTCTACCTTGCTCCAATTTTATTGTTGTGGTCATATCTGGGTAGATATAATAGGAGGAGAAAGGCTGAGAATATTCAGTACAATGCCAACAGGTATTTCAAGTTCTTTTTAGGCTCTGGGAAACCACAATGGAGTATTACAAAAAAATAAAAGAGGAGAAAGATGAAATCCTGCTCTGCCTTCAAAACTCCTGCAATCCAGTGGAAACACTAGTTAAATATAAGACAGCGAGAGGAGGGCTAAATAGAAATGCACCGAGCCACAGTGCACAGTTACAGGAAGTCAGAGGGTGTGGAGGAATTCCTCAGAGCTTCAGAATGTCAAGAAGCAGCACTGTGGGCAAGCTGAGTAAATCATCTTGGTCAAAATGAGAGTGGGAACTCCAGTGGGGCCCCACACTGTTAATGAGATGTATGAGTATTAGAAGCTGTGATCAAGAACTTTGTCTTCCAGCTGCTCAGAACTGCATGGCCTAAAGCTGTCAAGAGTATATTAGTAACCATATGATTACTCCTTGATCACAGGCAATTGATACCCAAGAAATAGTTATTAGTTTAAACCTTAGAAGGAGTTTAAAAAGAAAGAAATTCTAAAAAGACAGAGAAAGCTGTTTATAGCATGATTCCTTTCTCCCTCTCTCCCAAAATGTTAATTCTGTTTCTCTCTTTGGAAGATTTTTTTTTCTCTAAACATTTCTACCTTTGTTAAAAAAAAATTTTAAACAAAAATGAACACATTATGAGTCATTTCTTTATTCTGGTAACTGTTTGAAATGCTATGAGTAGCAACTCTTTGTTAGTATTCATTCTGGGGAGGGAGAGATCAGATTCAATGCAGAGGTCTTCCTGGAGCTTTAATTTATTACTACTTTTAGAGACAGGGTCTCACTATGTTGCCCAGGCTGGTCTTAAACTCCTGGGCTCAAGCAGACCTCCCACTTCAGCCTCCTAAGTAGCTGGGATAATGGGCATGGGAAACCAAGCCCCGCTTCATGGGGCTTTTGTAATGAGACTGTTGTGTCTAGATAGGACCATTCAGAATATCTGTCTGTTTAAAAGCTATAGCAGATAGTCTAATTATTTATGATATGTTCCACTTGATGTAAAATAAATCTGTTGAAGGTTTTGCTT